AATATAGATGTGTATCATACTCCTAGATAACAATATAGATGTGTATCATACTCCTAGATAACAATATAGATGTGTATCATACCCTAGATAACAATATAGATGTGTATCATACTCCTAGATAACAATATAGATGTGTATCATAGATAACAATATAGATGTGTATCATACTCCATCGAGATAACAATATAGATGTGTATCATACTCCTAGATAACAATGTAGATGTGTATCATACTCCTAGATAACAATGTAGATGTGTATCATACTCCTAGATAACAATAGATGTGTATCATACCCTAGATAACAATATAGATGTGTATCATACTCCTAGCATCGAGATAACAATATAGATGTGTATCATACTCCTAGATAACAATATAGATGTGTATCATACTCCTAGCATCGAGATAACAATATAGATGTGTATCATACTCTAGATAACAATATAGATGTGTATCATACTCCTAGATAACAATATAGATGTGTATCATACTCCTAGATAACAATATAGATGTGTATCATACTCCTAGATAACAATATAGATGTGTATCATACTCCTAGATAACAATATAGATGTGTATCATACTCCTAGATAACAATATAGATGTATCATCATACCTCTAGATAACAATATAGATGTGTATCATACTTCCTAGATAACAATATAGATGTGTATCATACTCCTAGCATCGAGATAACAATATAGATGTGTATCATACTCCTAGCATCGAGATAACAATATAGATGTGTATCATACCCCTAGATAACAATATAGATGTGTATCATACTCCTAGCATCGAGATAACAATATAGATGTGTATCATACTCCTAGATAACAATATAGATGTGTATCATACTCCTAGATAACAATATAGATGTGTATCATACTCCTAGATAACAATATAGATGTGTATCATACTCCTAGCATCGAGATAACAATATAGATGTGTATCATACTCCTAGATAACAATATAGATGTGTATCATACTCCTAGATAACAATATAGATGTGTAGCATACTCCTAGATAACAATATAGATGTGTATCATACTCCTAGATAACAATATAGATGTGTATCATACTCCTAGATAACAATATAGATGTGTATCATACTCCTAGATAACAATATAGATGTGTATCATACTCCTAGATAACAATATAGATGTGTATCATACTCCTAGATAACAATGTAGATGTGTATCATACTCCTAGATAACAATGTAGATGTGTATCATACTCCTAGATAACAATATAGATGTGTATCCTACTCCTAGATAACAATATAGATGTGTATCATACTCCTAGCATCGAGATAACAATATAGATGTGTATCATACTCCTAGATAACAATATAGATGTGTATCATAAATCTAGATAACAATATAGATGTGTATCATACTCCTAGATAACAATATAGATGTGTATCATACTCCTAGATAACAATATAGATGTGTATCATACTCCTAGATAACAATATAGATGTGTATCATACTCCTAGATAACAATATAGATGTGTATCATACTCCTAGATAACAATATAGATGTGTATCATACTCCTAGATAACAATATAGATGTGTATCATACTCCTAGATAACAATATAGATGTGTATCATACTCCTAGCATCGAGATAACAATATAGATGTGTATCATACTCCTAGCATCGAGATAACAATATAGATGTGTATCATACTCCTAGATAACAATATAGATGTGTATCATACTCCTAGCATCGAGATAACAATATAGATGTGTATCATACTCCTAGATAACAATATAGATGTGTATCATACTCCTAGATAACAATATAGATGTGTATCATACTCCTAGATAACAATATAGATGTGTATCATACTCCTAGATAACAATATAGATGTGTATCATACTCCTAGATAACAATATAGATGTGTATCATACTCCTAGATAACAATATAGATGTGTATCATACTCCTAGATAACAATATAGATGTGTATCATACTCCTAGCATCGAGATAACAATATAGATGTGTATCATACTCCTAGCATCGAGATAACAATATAGATGTGTATCATACTCCTAGATAACAATATAGATGTGTATCATACTCCTAGCATCGAGATAACAATATAGATGTGTATCATACTCCTAGATAACAATATAGATGTGTATCATACTCCTAGATAACAATATAGATGTGTATCATACTCCTAGATAACAATATAGATGTGTATCATACTCCTAGCATCGAGATAACAATATAGATGTGTATCATACTCCTAGATAACAATATAGATGTGTATCATACTCCTAGATAACAATATAGATGTGTATCATACTCCTAGATAACAATATAGATGTGTATCATACTCCTAGATAACAATATAGATGTGTATCATACTCCTAGATAACAATATAGATGTGTATCATACTCCTAGATAACAATATAGATGTGTATCCTACTCCTAGATAACAATATAGATGTGTATCATACTCCCATAGATAACAATGTAGATGTGTATCATACTCCTAGATAACAATGTAGATGTGTATCATACTCCTAGATAACAATATAGATGTGTATCCTACTCCTAGATAACAATATAGATGTGTATCATACTCCTAGCATCGAGATAACAATATAGATGTGTATCATACTCCTAGATAACAATATAGATGTGTATCATACTCCTAGATAACAATATAGATGTGTATCATACTCCTAGATAACAATATAGATGTGTATCATACTCCTAGATAACAATATAGATGTGTATCATACTCCTAGATAACAATATAGATGTGTATCATACTCCTAGATAACAATATAGATGTGTATCATACTCCTAGATAACAATATAGATGTGTATCATACTCCTAGATAACAATATAGATGTGTATCATACTCCTAGATAACAATATAGATGTGTATCATACTCCTAGATAACAATATAGATGTGTATCATACTCCTAGCATCGAGATAACAATATAGAAACTGATGATGTAATATGGAAAACTAATGACCCCTCCATGAACCTGCAGTATAGGGCGTTGCATTGTCAGGTTGAAAATATCAGTGAGTGAGTTTAGTTTTACACCGATTCTAGCAATATTCCAACAATATCAAGGCGGGGGACACCAGAAATAGGCTTCACTCAAATTTTACCCATATGATGAATCGAACCCGGATCTTCGGCGTGACGAGCGAACGCTTTAACCACTAGACTCCCCCACCAACCCCGTTCTTTCATTGAAATAATAACGAGTTCCGGAGCAGAGATCCGGCACTGAGTGTTCACTCGACAGAAGTGTAGACGTTGTCAGTCCAGCCCATTACTTCATCACTAATTGTAATATGAAAAGGGCTCGATGTAGTACGAAAATGTGCGATAAAATAATCTTAAAACGTTTTGTTGGTTGCTGTTATTTTTTTAAACGTGTTGACACATTTCAGTTTATATTTTAAACTGAAATGTGTCAACACGTTTACAAAAAATATAAATATAAATCTTCATTGGCGAGATTCCGCTGCTCCGCGCATGATTTATATGTTGAAACTGGGAGATACCAAGGTATTGAGAAAGAAAGTAGAATCTGCCAAATGTGCAACTTACACGAGGTCGAAGATGAGTTTCACTTTTTATGTGTTTGCCCAGCATACTTAGCGTTAAGAAATAGATATATAAAGAAATATTATTATGTACATCGTGCAATGCATAAGTTTATATCATTGATGAATAATTCCAGTAAAACACATATAGAAAGATTGTCCATATATATCCATAAAGCTTTTATTCTCCGAAAGAATGCTCTACTACCCGCACATGATTAAACAATGTACTACAGGCCTGTGGCCTTTCAGTATGAAATAAAGATTGATTGACACATTTCAGTTCCAATAAAGTAGCCAATGGTATACACTTAGCGCCAAAAGAAATGTTACCCTCCTACCTTTATGAATTACTTCAAAACTGTCAAAGATATGAGAAGGTATTAGTTTAAAAGAAAGCTTAACAACACAGCTTTATGCGAATCACGAAAAACAATTCTCAAATGCATTTATATATGGGTGAAATGCATCTTTTCAGAAGAGTTAAATTGTCCTATTTACGTCCATGCCGAAATAAACAAATAACAGTGATTAAGATGTCCAAAAGAAAGGTTGAAATAAAATTCTGCTTTTGGACAAAGATAAACCATTTAAAGTCAACTATTAAAACAAGAAACAACTATTGTAAAGTGTGTAAAATTGTAAAATAATCACTCCTATGATTTCAGTCTTTTAAAACATTTTCTGCTAATTTGCATTAGTGAAAACAAGTAAAACGAGTCTTTGATATTGTGAAAAAACATCTGAAATTATCTTTGCTAACATTTTTGCTTGCAAAGTAACATTTTTCCATTTTCTGTTTACACATAGCAATATCAATCGCCAAAACGTAGCAATATTCAAGCAGTATTTGCATCCATTTCTCGTGTAGAATGATTCTATATGGTATAAAGAGAGACTAGAATGCATGATATGATACACAAGTACGAGAAATTTGCCACGATGAACAGCTGAAGAGAGAGAAAGAGCCACTGGGATGGTGCAGATGGGGTCGACATACAATGCTGTTGCCAACGCCCTCGGATGCCATCGTACCACGGTTATCAGACTTCTTCAGAGATTCAGACAGACTGGGGTCCCCGTAGACAGACCAAGAAGTGGACTTCCACGCATCACAACGCCAGCTGTAGATAGGTACATCCGTCATTAAGGAAGGAGGGTAACGTTTCTTTTGGCGTTTAGTGTATACAACCGAGGAGGGGTGGCGGTGTAGCCTAACGGTTAAAGCGTCCGCTCGTCAAGCTGAAGACCTTTGTTCGATTCCTCACATGGGCACATGTGTGAAGCCCGTTTATGGTGTCCCCCGCCGTGATATTGCGGGAATATTGATAAAGGCGGAGTAAAACCATACTCACTCACTCACTCAAACCAAGGAAATGGTCACGCTGCCTTACTGCAATATTGGCATCACTTACCTCCCGGCATTCCTCCTCGGTGTTGCTTGCCTCTTCATCTTGTTCCTCCTGGGATGAATCTGTAACAGTGAGTGAGAAATGTGTAGACTATATCCTCGTATCATGGGTTTTCGGACGCTTAAGAAACATTCGTTGTTTCACACACGAAGAACTGTAAATATGTGTCGAATTTATAAAACACAACTTCATCTAAATGACACCCGAGTATTTGCAATGTATGTGTGTCCCAACACACCTCGTTATAATGCGTGTATTCACTTCCTGAAACTTATGATGTTGGAAGCGTAATCTGTGTAGCGTAATCTGTAGCAGACTGCCTAGATGTACCCAGTGGGGCGGGTTAGAACAGGCCTTCAGAGTCCCGTTCCACAACTAACTTGGTTGACACATGTCATCGTATCCCATCTGCGTAGATCGATGCTCATGATGTCAGTCACTGGATTGTCTGGTCCAGATTATTTATAGACCGCCGTCACATAGCTGGAATATTGCTGAGTGCGGCCACAAACAACAAACAAACAAATCCCGTTTCACAAAGCTATCGTAGCGCTTAGGTGATCGTAACTCTTATACTTTAACATAGTGAGTGAGTTTAGTTTTACGCCGCCCTCAGCAATATTCCAGCTATATGGCGGACTTTAACATAGACTTATCAAAGTCGTAGTGCAGGGAACAGAGCCTAGATTTTCGAAGCTCTCTTAGCGCTACGACAGTCGTAATGTTACAATCGCTTTGTAAAACGGGGGCGCAGGGTGCCGTTGTACAAAACAACCTTACGAGAGCCGTAAGTCGTAAAGTATGGGAGTCACCATCACCTGAGCTCTGAGACCCTTTGTACAACGGCAACTCGGTCGGGAAATTTGGTGGATTGCGTGACATGAAACGTTGTTCATCACATCAACCACTACTTCCTCTGGTCCAGACTCCATTACTCATACGCCCACGTCTAAATACGTATTCCTGAGTGTGTCGGTAAGCAACAAGGAAACAACCTCTCTACGTAACCCCCGTTTCGTAAGAGCCATTTGTAAGGTAAACAATCCGAAAGCCGTGACCTACATTTAATATCGCCACTGTAGGAGATTGCAGGAGGCAAACCACCAACTTTCCTCATGCGTCGGTAACTGTTACATCAGAAGCAAGTTGTTACATGTAACATAATACATGTACAGTGTCCCGACAGCTCAGCTCATCCTGATATCCAGGGAACAAGTTACAGCTGAATGACAACATATATCAGGTAATTTAGTAACTGTACCTTCGTTAAAGGGGCTCCGACCCAGGACCTGATGCCCTACCCATGTCGAGAAGTTACACTGACGATGTTACAAAATCTGTGGTAACAAACGAAGTGAGTTTTACCACAACTTGGCAAACTTGTAGGCTGTCACTGGCCCGAACGTTGTGTCGCTTTGACTTGCTTTTACCTCAGCAGTGTATGAAGTAGGTGCATTTACAATATGGATTTAGACTGATGGGGCTTACCTTCCATGTTTCAACGTTATTCCGTCTCTGATTCTGTACTGAAAGTGTCCACGATACGATTACGTCCCACGAGTAACTGGATATTGGTCACAGCGTACATGGTGACCAACGACAAGTCTCATTGACAGATTTGATCTTAAAATAGAACTACTGTTACCTCAGGTAGCCCGGACGTGTGGCACATTTGTTATTCAGCAATGCATTATACAGTCCCCGGCTGGTATTCATGTGTGAGTCTATTCATGATTGTGGTATTATGCGTGTGTGGACAGGCCTTCAACAAGCTGAGAAGTCGCAGCAGTGACAGGGGGCCGGCTTGGGTGTCAGTACAGTGTGTACATTCGCTTGTCAGTCTGTATGTTTCATAAGGGGGGTTGGGGATGATGTTTGTGGTTTGGTGGTGATGCTTGTCGTTTGGTGGTGACGCTTTAGGTTTGGTGGTGATGCTTTGGGTTTGGTGGTGATGCTTGTGGTTTGGTGGTGATGCTTTGGGTTTGGTGGTGAAGCTTGTGGTTTGGTGGTGATGCTTTGGGTTTGGTGGTGATGCTTGTGGTATGGTGGTGATGCTTGTGGTTTGGTGGTGATGCTTGTGGTTTGGTGGTGATGCTTGTGGTTTGGTGGTGATGCTTGTGGTTTGGTGGTGATGCTTTGGGTTTGGTGGTGAAGCTTGTGGTTTGGTGGTGATGCTTTGGGTTTGGTGGTGATGCTTGTGGTTTGGTGGTGATGCTTGTCGTTTGGTGGTGACGCTTTAGGTTTGGTGGTGATGCTTGTGGTTTGGTGGTGATGCTTTGGGTTTGGTGGTGAAGCTTGTGGTTTGGTGGTGATGCTTTGGGTTTGGTGGTGATGCTTTGGGTTTGGTGGTGATGCTTGTGGTTTGGTGGTGATGCTTGTGGTTTGGTGGTGACGCTTTAGGTTTGGTGGTGATGCTTGTGGTTTGGTGGTGATGCTTTGGGTTTGGTGGTGAAGCTTGTGGTTTGGTGGTGATGCTTGTGGTTTGGTGGTGACGCTTTAGGTTTGGTGGTGATGCTTGTGGTTTTGGTGGTGATGCTTTGGGGTTGGTGGTGAAGCTTGTGGTTTTCAAGTGGTGATGCTTGTGGTTTGGTGGTGATGCTTGTGGTTTGGTGGTGATGCTTGTGGTTTTGGTGGTGATGCTTGTGGTTTGTGGTGATGCTTTGGGTTTGGTGGTGATGCTTGTGGTTTGGTGGTGATGCTTGTGGTTTGGTGGTGACGCTTTAGGTTTGGTGGTGATGCTTGTGGTTTGGTGGTGATGCTTTGGGTTTGGTGGTTGAAGCTTGTGGTTTGGTGTGGTGATGCTTGTCGTTTGGTGGTGACGCTTTAGGTTTGGTGGTGATGCTTGTGGTTTGGTGGTGATGCTTTGGGTTTGGTGGTGAAGCTTGTGGTTTTAGTGGTGATGCTTTGGGTTTGGTGGTGATGCTTTGGGTTTGGTGGTGATGCTTGTGGTTTGGTGGTGATGCTTGTGGTTTGGTGGTGACGCTTTAGGTTTGGTGGTGATGCTTGTGGTTTGAATGCGGTGATGCTTTGGGTTTGGTGGTGAAGCTTGTGGTTTGGTGGTGATGCTTGTGGTTTGGTGGTGACGCTTTAGGTTTGGTGGTGATGCTTGTGGTTTGGTGGTGATGCTTTGGGTTTGGTGGTGATGCTTGTGGTTTGGTGGTGATGCTTGTGGTTTGGTGGTGATGCTTGTGGTTTGGTGGTGATGCTTGTGGTTTGGTGGTGATGCTTGTGGTTTGGTGGTGATGCTTTGGGTTTGGTGGTGATGCTTGTGGTTTGGTGGTGATGCTTGTGGTTTGGTGGTGACGCTTTAGGTTTGGTGGTGATGCTTGTGGTTTGGTGGTGATGCTTTGGGTTTGGTGGTGAAGCTTGTGGTTTGGTGGTGATGCTTGTCGTTTGGTGGTGAAGCTTGTGGTTTGGTGGTGACGCTATAGGTTTGTTGGTGATTCTTGTGGTTTGCTGGTGAAGCTTGTGGTTTGGTGGTGATGCTTTAGGTTTGGTGGTGATGCTTGTGGTATGGTGGTGATGCTTGTGGTTTGGTGTAGCTTGTGGTTTGGTGGTGAAGCTTGTGGTTTGGTGGTGATGCTTGTGGTTTGGTGGTGATGCTTGTGGTTTTGTGGTGATGCTTGTGGTTTGGTGGTGATTCTTGTGGTTTGGTGGTGATGCTTGTGGTTTGGTGGTGATGCTTGTGGTTTGGTGTTAATACTTGTGGTTTCGTGATGCTTGTGGCTTGGTGGTGAAGCCTGTGGTTTGGTGGTGATGCTTGTGGCTCAGTGGTGATACTTGTGGTTGCGTGTATGGGTTTCTGTCTGTAATTTGTGTGTTTGTGTGTGTACGCGCGTGCGTGTGTGCGGATGTGTGTGTGACTTCGTGTTTGCGTGGGGGCTTGTTGTTGTTCTTTGGGGGTGGAGGGGTTTGTAAGCAGGACACTGCATCTACCAACCGTCATACCAGAAATTAAGATATATGCATTTGTTTCCGAAAACAAATCGTAATTTTAAAACCCGTACTAGATTTACGTTCACTCAGTCTTTCAAAATTATATTTATAGCGAAGTTAAATCCGCCTAGGAATGAGACTGATTGTGCAGCACGTTGTGCAGTAAGGATACTGAATGTTCTGTCTGTTGGTGGGTAATCGTGGTTGTTAGGCATCGTGGACCAAACGTATAGTTACAGTCTGGCGTCTAAATATCACTGAGACCTTGCACTTGGTGAACAGAGCTCCCGTCCTCGTCGTGGAGAGTAATTACCTGTGGTATACACACCTGTAACGCTTTACTTGCTCCACTCAGGTTGTGGATAGCAGTGTCAACTTGACATTGCGGGAGATTTACGGGGAGTCATACATACATTAAAACTGGGACACAAGGGTCACCGTCGCCTATTGATCCAGACTGCATTAACATTCATGTGTCAGACGTCAGGTCCGGGATGGGTATACTCAGGTGCATATACTACACATGTCAGACGTTATGTTGGGGAAGGGTTTGACACAGGCTGCATATACTACACATGTCAAACGTTATGTTGGGGAAGGGTTGGACACAGGCAGCATATACTTCACATGTCAGACGTTATGTTAGGGAAGGGTTGGAAAGAGGCTGCATATACTACACATGTCAGACGTTATCTTGGGAAGGTTGGACAAAGGCAGCATATACTTCACATGTCAAACGTTATGTTGGGGAAGGGTTGGACACAGGATGCATATACTACACATGTCAGACGTTATGTTGGGGATGGTTGGACACAGGCAGCATATACTACACATGTCAGACGTTATGTTAGGGAAGGGTTGGACACAGGCAGCATATACTACACATGTCAGACGTTATGTTGGGGAAGGTTGGACACAGGCTGCATATACTACACATGTCAGACATTATGTTGGGGAAGGTTGGACACAAGCTGCATATACTACAGATGTAAGACGTTATGTTGGGGAAGGGTTGGACACAGGCAGCATATACTACACATGTCAGACGTTATGTTGGGGACGGGTTGGACACAGGCAGCATATACTACACATGTCAGACGTTATGTTGGGGAAGGTTGGACACATGCAGCATATACTACACATGTCAGACGTTATGTTAGTGAAGGGTTGGACACAAGCTGCATATACTACGCATGTCAGACGTTATGTTGAGGAAGGGTTGGACAGAGGCTGCATATACTACACATGTAAGACGTTATGTTGGGAAGGTTGGACACAGGCAGCATATACTACACATGTCAGACGTTATGTTAGTGAAGGGTTGGACACAAGCTGCATATACTACGCATGTCAGACGTTATGTTTGAGGAAGGGTTGGACAGAGGCCGCATATACTACACATGTAAGACGTTATGTTGGGGAAGGTTGGACAGAGGTAGCATATACTTCACGTGTCAGACGTTATGTTGGGGACGGGTTGGACACAGGCTGCATATACTACACATGTCAGACGTTATGTTGAGGAAGGGTTGGACGGAGGCTGCATATACTTCACACGTCAGACGTTATGTTGAGGAAGGGTTGGACACAGGCTGCATATACTACACATGTCAGACGTTATGTTGGAGAAGGGTTGGACAGAGGCAGCATATACTTCACATGTCAGACGTTATGTTGGGGAAGGTTGGACACAGGCTGCATATACTACACATGTCAGACGTTATGTTGGGAAGGGTTGGACACAGGCAGCATATACTACACATGTAAGACGTTATGTTAGGGAAGGGTTGGACAGAGGCAGCATATACTACACATGTCAGACGTTATGTTAGTGAAGGGTTGGACACAAGCTGCATATACTACGCATGTCAGACGTTATGTTGGGGACGGGTTGGACACAGGCAGCATATACTACACATGTCAGACGTTATGTTGGGGACGGGTTGGACACAGGCAGCATATACTACACATGTCAGACGTTATGTTGGGGAAGGTTGGACACATGCAGCATATACTACACATGTCAGACGTTATGTTAGTGAAGGGTTGGACACAAGCTGCATATACTACGCATGTCAGACGTTATGTTGAGGAAGGGTTGGACAGAGGCTGCATATACTACACATGTAAGACGTTATGTTGGGGAAGGTTGGACACAGGCAGCATATACTACACATGTCAGACGTTATGTTAGTGAAGGGTTGGACACAAGCTGCATATACTACGCATGTCAGACGTTATGTTGAGGAAGGGTTGGACAGAGGCCGCATATACTACACATGTAAGACGTTATGTTGGGGAAGGTTGGACAGAGGTAGCATATACTTCACGTGTCAGACGTTATGTTGGGGACGGGTTGGACACAGGCTGCATATACTACACATGTCAGACGTTATGTTGAGGAAGGGTTGGACGGAGGCTGCATATACTTCACACGTCAGACGTTATGTTGAGGAAGGGTTGGACACAGGCTGCATATACTACACATGTCAGACGTTATGTTGGAGAAGGGTTGGACAGAGGCAGCATATACTTCACATGTCAGACGTTATGTTGGGGAAGGTTGGACACAGGCTGCATATACTACACATGTCAGACGTTATGTTGGGAAGGGTTGGACACAGGCAGCATATACTACACATGTAAGACGTTATGTTAGGGAAGGGTTGGACAGAGGCAGCATATACTACACATGTCAGACGTTATGTTGGGGAAGGGTTGGACACAGGCTGCATATACTACACATGTCAGACGTTATGTTGGGAAGGGTTGGACACAGGCTGCATATACTTCACATGTCAGACGTTATTTTGGGGAAGGTTGGACACAGGCTGCATATACTACACATGTAAGACGTTATGTTGGGGATGGTTGGACACAAGCTGCATATACTACACATGTAAGACGTTATGTTGGGGAAGGGTTGGACACAGGGTGCATTATACTTCCTGTGTCCAGACAATATGTGCATATACTTTACGTGTCAAGACACTTTACACATGAACAGGAAGATTATTTCCAGCCAAGACGTCAGCCTTAAATCTCATTCTAAACGTCGTTTATGCATAGTACATTAAACAGGCTACCTTAGGACGGTATGACTAACAGCTCATGTCAATACTTGGATATTTTTTCTCTGCAGCATTCATAAGACATGTTATCAAACAGGTAGATCTTCCCCTGCTTACTGGCGATGAGTAATGCTCGCTATTATGTACACTGTTACACTTAGCTCTTACACTGCGCACAGCACACAGACTGATATCGAATAGTGAACTGAAGGTGAGGGTTAAACTAACTTTCATTGCGAGTATTCAAATGACTGTTTTACTGTGAGTATTCACCTGACTGTGTTTGGTGGTATTTGTTGTGACTGACTGTCTTGTGTTGAACTGGCTTTGTTTCGTGCTGAGTATCTAACTCACTGCTTGATCACGCGAAGGTTCAACTGACTGTGTTTAAAGACGCGTATTGAACTGACTCTGTTCGGGGAAGATCGGGGAACTTTGTTTGGCAGTGTTGAACTAACTGTGTTTGAATGCCAGTGTTACCTGATGGTTTCAAGGTGCTGCTATTCGTGTTTGACGGAGAATTTTGAAGCAAATGATTGATGGCGTGTGTTGAACTGATTGTGTTTGACAGTCAGTATTGAACTGATTGTGTTTGACAGTCAGTGTTGAACTGATTGTGTTTGACAGTCAGTGTTGAACTGATTGTGTTTGACAGTCAGTGTTGATCTGCCTGTGTTTGACAGTCAGTGTTGAACTGATTGTGTTTGACAGTCATTGTTGAACTGATTGTGTTTGACAGTCAGTGTTGATCTGCCTGTGTTTGTCAGTCAGTGTTGATCTGCCTGTGTTTGACAGTCAGTGTTGAACTGATTGGGTTTGACAGTCAGTGTTGAACTGATTGTGTTTGACAGTCAGTGTTGAACTGATTGTGTTTGACAGTCAGTGTTGATTTGCCTGTGTTTGACAGTCAGTGTTGATCTGTCTGTGTTTGACAGTCAGTGTTGAACTAATTGTGTTTGACAGTCAGTATTGAACTGATTGTGTTTGACAGTGAGGGTTGAACTGATTGTGTTTGACAGTCAGTGTTGATCTGCCTGTGTTTGACAGTCAGTGTTGAACTGATTGTGTTTGACAGTCAGTGTTGAACTGATTGGGTTTGACAGTCAGTGTTGAACTGATTGTGTTTGACAGTGATTGCTGATCTGACTGTGTTAGACAGTGATTGTTGATCTACCAATGTTTGACAGTCAGTGTTGAACTGATTGTGTTTGACAGTCAGTGTTGAACTGATTGTGTTTGACAGTCAGTATTGATCTGCCTGTGTTTGGCAGTCAGTGTTGATCTGCCTGTGTTTGACGGTCAGTATTGATCTGCCTGTGTTTGACAGTCAGTGTTGATCTGATTGTGTTTGACAGTCAGTGATGATCTGCCTGTGTTTGACAGTCAGTGTTGAACTGATTGTGTTTGACAGTCAGTGTTGATCTGCCTGTGTTTGACAGACAGTGTTGAACTGATTGGGTTTATAGTGAGCGTTGAACTGATAGTGTTTGACAGTGATTGTTGATCAGACTGTGTTTGACAGTGATTGTTGACCTGCCTGTTTGACAGCCAGTGATAATCTGCCTGTGTTTGACAGTCAGTGTTGATCTGCCTGTGTTTGACAGTCAGTGTTGAACTGATTGTGTTTGACAGTCAGTGTTGATCTGCCTGTGTTTGACAGTCAGTGTTTATCTGCCTGTGTTTGACAGTCAGTATTGATCTGCCTGTGTTCGACAGTCAGTGTTGATCTGCCTGTGTTTGACAGTGAGGGTTGAACTGATTGTGTTTGACAGTCAGTGTTGATCTGCCTGTGTTTGACAGTCAGTGTTGATCTGATTGTGTTTGACAGTCAGTGTTGATCTGATTGTGTTTGAACAGTGAGTGTTGATCCGATTGTGTTTGACAGAGATTTTTGATCTGATTGTGTTTGACAGTGAGTGTTGATCTGATTGTATTCACAGTGTTGACTCCCTCTTCTCTGTACAGCACAACATTCACCGCATGGCAGCACGGACAGTGAACCCGGTACCTAAACCACCAAGAACATTCACAGGTATTTACATCTGATCAGTTATCATTACCCACGTGGCACAACGTTAACCGACCGCCTCCGTGTAGTGGTTAGAGCGTCCGCCCGGAGACAGGAAGGTCGCGGGTTCGATCCCCGACCGCGTCATACCAAAAGACGTTAAAATATGGTACTTGTTGGTCCCTGCCTGGCGCTCGGCATTAATGGTTACAACAAGGACTGGTCGGCTCGGAGTCAGTATAATGTGTCTGAGTGGGGTATTCATGCTTCACTGCGGCATGGTATCTCAGTGGGCTAGCCCTTTAAAACCAGCTTCAGTCAGGGCTAGTCGTCATATGATCGAAATATTCTCAAGCACGACGTTAAACCCAATTTCACTTCACCTCACCTCACAACGTTAACGGATAGCACAGCAAGCTCTGATGAACGTGCGTACTAACATTTACTCTGAACTTGATTTCCTGGTGCAGGAAAAGGATTTTTACCTCCTGGTGCTAGTTTTGATACATACGTTCATAAATTTGTAACAAATGAAAAAAATATTATTTTGAATATATTCCTGACTTTCATAACTTGCACACGTGTTTGCAGTTTAATGCTCTAAGTCTTCTCTAATTCCTTTCAAATTACCCGCTGTCTGGTCAACTGGACAAAATGGCCGAACAAAGATGATCAACCATGCCGATGAGTGATTGACTGAGTTTATTGTTGCTATCGTTTTGCTTTCTTACACAGCTTTTAAAAAGGTTTCATAAACGTCACAGTGGGGTCACGAGAGTGGGCTTCACCCATTGTTCCCATGTGAAAAATCGTAATGTGCATTCGAGCAAACGCTCTAGCCATCGTCCCAACGTCCCAGCTAGGCTTTTAAAATTCCATATATACAAAATCTTGTGCCTTACAGCACTTCGCATGATTTATGTTCAACACATGAGCAGATTTGAGGATATCTAACTAAGATTTAATTACCTCACAGTAAGTTAACCTGACTCTACATAGCGCTCCAACTGTTGGGGAGGGCCGTCCCTCTATTATATGGTCTCTGCTCTAACATAGGGCAAACATAAGGTATTATACTCATGAACCATGTACAGTGAAACCTACCAACAACGGCACCTGTCTAATCCGGCACACTGTCAAAGCTGGCATAAAATTTTGGTCCCGCCAGTTTACAACGATATTAGGATGATCAAACATTTTCTAATCCGGCACCTGTCTATTCCGTAATTTCGGTCCCAACAAGCAATTTTAACTGTATGGGCATGAGCAGTCCAATCAAGGACCCATAATCCAATGCACTAATTAATCCTAGATAATCAGGAAGTAGTAATTGCGAGGTGAATAAAACGCTCTACGAAATCCAGTCATACAGGTGGGTTGCCCTAAGAGTGAGTGAGTGAGTTTAGTTTTACATCGCTTTTAGCAATATTCCGTCACTATCAAAGCGGGGGATACCAGAATTGGGCTGTTACCCTAATAAATCAACATGTGAAACTGACAGTTTCATATAACTACACAAAGATCAGTGATGAAATTCGTCATATTATGATTAGAGGTTAATATATAACAGTTTTCATATCTAACCTGCGTAAAGCCTATATCTTTAGGTGGTACTCCAATCAAGGTAGTAGAAGAGGCCAAATTCCGGGGACTCATATTTGACCGTCACTTGACATTCTTACCACACATAAAATATTTAAAAAACAAAGTGCTTGAAGGCTCTGAACTTGCTAGAAGTCGTTTCAAACACAGAGTGGGGAGGGGATCAGACTACCCTCCTTCACTTGTACAGATCATTGGTTCGCAGTAAACTAGATTATGGCTCCATTGTCTATGGTGGAGCCTGCAAAAGCAGTTTAGAAAAATTCGATTCTATCCACCACCAAGGGCTGAGGCTCTGCCTGGGAGCTTTTAGGACCTCTCCGGTAGACAGTCTATATTCGGAGGCCAACGAACCTTCCCTTGAACAACGCCGCATTAAACTTTCACTGAAGTATATCACTAAACTACGTTCAAATCAGTCCAATCCCGCATACAATTGTGTTTTCAACCCGCTCTATGACAACCTGTTTCCTAATCTTGGAATCAGAATTCAACCACACATATCTGCAGCTAAAATCGATCTCAATATCATTGCACCTGACCGACTTCTGTCTTTACCACCCTGGCAGATGGTGAAACCACAGGTCGATCTTACCCTCATCAAACTCAAAAAGCCTGAAACAAATCCTTTGGTGTTCCAACAGGAATACAACCAGTTATGTTCTAAGTATAACACCCATAGATCCATTTTCACAGACGGATCCAAGAACGATATCCAAGTTGCCAGTGCTACAGTCTTTGGATCCAAGACTGTCTCCTCTAGAATTCCCGACAACAGATCCATTTTCACCGCTGTGGCCAAAGCTATCTTTTCAGCTTTGACCTACATTAAACATCAGAATCAGTCCATACAGTTCATCGTTTTTACAGATTCCTTATCTTGCCTTCAAGCACTTCAAAATGTTACTTCAAGTCACCCAATCATCCTGGACATTTTAAAACTTTACAACGACCTTTCTACTGGCCAATGTGACATCGTCCTCTGCTGGTTGCCGGGTCACGTCGGCATAGCAGGTAACACCAAGGTCGATGCTGCAGCTAAAGCAGCTCTTGACAAGCCCTTATCTCCACTGCTAATCCCGTACAGTGATTTCAAACCCACTATCAAAAGTTATACTCGGGACCTCATGCAAAAAAGCCGGGACACTCAAATAGGAAGAAGTAGGTTATACCTACTTGGGTTGTCAGTCAAGACGTAATGAGGTAATTTTACGACGATGTCGTATTGGCCACAGTCGGTTTACTCATGACTATCTGCTGAAAACGGATGCGGATGGACCCCCATATGTGTCTCTTGCGATGAGGTTTTCACCATCAAGCATATTCTGCTTGACTGTGTGGACTTATCGTCTGCAAGGGACTCACATTATGATGCAACAAATCTGAAAGATCTGTTCTCCCGCGTGAGCGCTCATCTGATAGTGAACTACCTGAGGGAAGTTGATCTATATCATAAATTGTAACTGTGTAATGTGACTAACGAATTGCCTGCTTTTAAATTTAGTGCTATGGCATTCTCTGTTTTTAAATGACAATGTCATGAATATATCTTTTTGAAATAAAACTAAGTTTGACTTTGTACTTACAATGTGTATTAATGCAGACTCGTTCTCGTCACTATATGGCTGGAATAATGCCGATGTGACGTAAAGCCCAACTCAACCCAACCTATTTCTTGTGTCCACCGCCGCGATATTGCTGGATTATTACTTACTCTCACTTATTACTCGCCCGCGTAGGATACTGCAGAGTAATATTTTTACGCCAATATTGCACTAGTTTCTAAGATGCCTAGCGGTTAGAAAAATCGAAAAAAAAATACATTATCAGACAATAAAGGTATAGTTTTTTGATGACGTAACAATTGAATGACGTTATCCCGTCACTGCGCCATTCTAGTCTGCCCCCTCGTAATCGAACCATTTTACATTACGTCACAATGTAAGCGACGTCACGATGCATGTCAGTTGTCATCGCCTCCTACGGCCTCCTACAGTAAACTACACCGTTGCATCCAGTTTCTTGGTTTGCTGTTGCTTCACGCAGCTAACATCACTGATGGAAACATTACGTTTATGTTTTACGACGGTTAAAATATGTCATTTCGAGTCACAATTTTTCAGCGACACGGTAACGTTCGTAATGTTTACATTCCCACAATGCAATTGTGGAATGTCGCTTGACTACTCAACTTTCTCTGGATGTACTGATCTAAACTTACGCTGGTAGTAGAAATGCGACGTTCATATTGCCCCATATGGTTTACGTTAATGACAGATGTAATTAAAATAATTCAGAGAAGATATTTAATCCGAACGTAAACCGTCATCAAACTGTTATCATTTGTTTTTTTCTGGTAACGTTCGTCTTAACGTAGTGGGGCAGACACATCAATAGAACAGCGCGCCAGTTAGCCCTGTGCGAGGATTCTTAATTTAGGTCACAGACACCGTCGTTTGTTTTCTGCCTTAAATTAATCGTAATTATCTTTAGAAAGTATTAAATTTGGCATCTTAGAAAAGAAATACACTTCGCTCTGCCACCATGTATAGTGTAATAAAACACACTTTCGCCCTGAACTATTATAACGTTAAAGCACTCGGACGCAAGCGTCCTCGTGCTTTAACTATAATAGTTCAGGGCAAAAGTGTGTTTTATTATAAGGGTAATGCTATTTTAGAGGGCATTATCATTTGCAGAAGTCCGAGGTCTTCCATTAACTGCCCGACGAAGGAAATGATAATGCCCCAAAAATAGCATTACCGTTATTATTGCTAAAATACACGGAATGTGTGTTGAAAAGAAAAAGGAAACAATGAAGGAATTTGACTGTAAGTTTACCCAAATCAACTTCTGACGGGACTGACTGCCCGAATGCAATTACGTCATCGAACAATTCAAGTGACGTCACAACAGAAAGTGACGATATTCGACCTTGGCCTTTGACAAGACCATAGGCTGCAACATGTCAAACTATGACAGTGTTCGGTTTTGGTCCATCAACAGTCTTAATAGTGCAATTGTTAAGGTTAACACCAACAAGAAAGCCAATATTACCGCTATTTAAAGTGGGAATTTGGGTTGCTTTGACTTCTTTGACCCAGAATATTTGCCAGTCGAAGGCCAATTAATGTCGAACTATGACGTCACTTGACAACAGAACTGATAATGGCCCGTCGTTAAGGTTGAGCGGTCCAATATCATTTGCAGCTGACCGCAAATGTCTGATAATGGGATGGCCGTTTCATGATAATTCCATGTATTTTAGCTATAATACACTATACATGGTGGTAGAGCGAAGTGTATTTCTTAAGTAATACCGCTAGACGTATGATAGACGTCATAATAGTTTACAGCTATGACGTCACAATGCTAATACCTCTGTCACAATGGTATTAGACCTTGCTTGACTTGCGGGAGCTGAGAGTCATCACACTGTAGGCAGTTTTGCGGCAGTCTCTATCAATTTATGTCGGAGAGTGACAAACAGAATACTAAACTCGTGAAAGATTTAGTATCAAACTCGCTTTCGCTATTTGATACAAAATTATCAACTCGTTTAACAAAAATGGTATTACACGAAAGGTCATTTAGTATCCTCTGTATACCTAACCCGGCCTCCAGCCATGCATCTAGTCCTTGCATATGATAAGTTGGAGGGCGGATAGTCTGCCATACAGATCCTGTACCAATTATGCCAAATACAGCCCATGAAAGTCTAGAATATGTGGCAAGTCTAGATTACTGAAGAACATGAAGAGAGTCCTTGGACTCCTTTGAATATATTTTATGACGGTAACTGAGAAACTAGTGTTTTTATACAAGTTTGTTACATATGTTCATTTCACAGACTAGGCGTTTGTTGATATATGGTTTAATGCGAAAAAGGCAATATAAAATCGTTTTTATCATATACCATAGCATCAAATTGCAACATGAACCGATTTCCAAGTGATTGCAATACATTTCTATCTTGTTTGAAGACATTGTCACACAAACGTTTGTTGAGCAGACGAGCAGACGACTTAACAAAGGGAAGTAACTCTAATCTCACATTCCCCGTACTCGCAAGTCAGCTCGACAAGGGTTGTCATACATTGTAATAGGAACATTTTCAGAGCAGACGACTTAACAAAGGGAAGTAACTCCGATATCCTTGCATTGACAAGTCATCGCGACAATGGGTGTTATACAGATGTGTTTTTTAACTTGTTGTTTGACAGTTTCTATAGTGACTCTGCCATGCATGCAAAAATGTCTCATATTACTGGCAGGTGGATTGTGTTACTTCGAATATTATTACATCGTATGTGATTGTATTATGTTTTGTCTAAGAAGCTCCTGTACCGTGAAAAGACACTGCGGTCGCCCAGTGGGTGAAGCATTCCTACATGTCACCGAAGCTCGTGTTTGATTCCTTACATAATGGAACTGTATTTTTTGTGTCTCCCATCTCGCCATCAGTACAAACTGGTTGCCAGTGGCGTAAAATCACACTCACTCATTTAATAAATTCCATGACACGAAACCACTATCTAAATGAGAAATGTTCGGTAAAATGTGTGACAGCATGGGTAAAATGTGTGACAGCACGGGTAAAATGTGTGACAGCATGGGTAAAATGTGTGACAGCATGGGTAAAATGTGTGACAGCACGGGTAAAATGTGTGACAGCATGGGTATAATGTGTGAAGCCTGTTTTGTGTGTCCCTTGCACTTATATGGCATGAATATTGCTGAAAGCGACGTACACACCATTTGAACTCACACATTTGATATTAGTGAGTGAGTGAGTGAGTTTAGTTTTACACCGCTTTTAGCAATATTCCAACAATATCAAGGCGGGACACATCAGAAATGGGCTTCACATATTGTCCCAATGTGGGGAATCGAACCCGGTTCTTCGGCTTGACGAGCGAACGCTATAACCACTAGGCTACTCCACCGCCCCACATTTGAAATTAGATTGCAGATACGATATGTAACTGATTCATTAACCTGGAAAATGTATGATGCTCATTTTTTATGGAATGTAAAAGATTATGCCTCACTCGTTTAATCTGTTCACAGATTTGGTGTCCCCCTCCGTGATATTGCTGGAATATTGCTAAAAGCGGCGTAAAACTAAACTCACTCATTCACTCACTCACTCTGTTTACAGACACGAAACCAGTTTCCGAACGAAGTCCAGAAGAGAAATCAAAACCTGAGCAAAGACTGAATATAAAACAGGATATCTGCACCGAGCGTGCATCCAAACAAACAGGTAAGTGGTCGAAATTTGGTGGTAGAACATAGAGGGACTTAAAACAGTGTCGCTCCAATACATGTATCTGTTGTTGTCAAACGTCGCCCTCGACAATGTTAAGGTAAACTGACTTTAAATGGCGTAATACATGATAGTTAAGGCTAAACCAGAAGGGCACGTGAACATCCGGGTGAGAATTGGTCTTCAGTAACCCATGCTTGTCGTAAGAGGCGGCCAACGGGATCGGGTGGTCAGGCTCGCTGACTTGCTTCACGCATGTCATGATGTTGATCACTGGAATGTCTGATCTAGACTCAATTGTTTACAAACCGCCGCCATATAGCTGGAATATTGCTGAGAGCGACGTTAAACAACAAACAAACAATACAAATCAAATCTAGACCAGATACGCCAGTGACTGACGTTTTGAGCGATGTCACGATCCGTCGGTTCGTGACAGCCAAGTCACCTGACCACACGATCCATATAAACAAAAGAAAATGTATTCATGGGTGATGGTGGGAAGTAGTGCAGATATACCCATGAGGTATTGCTGATGTATCCACGGGTGATGGAGGAACGCAATATATGCATACCCGCGATGAATTCACGATATACCCATGCGTAGTGGAGAATTGCAGTGTATAGAGACTCGTGACGTATTGACGATGTATTCACGGGTGATGGAGGAATACAGTGCATGTATACCCATGCCGTACTTCGATGTATTCACGGATAATGATTGAATTAGGGGATAATGTTTATCTCCATTCCACCATAACCGCGTTATTCAGATTTTAAAGATATACACACTGTGTTGGAAAATCAAAGGTATATAACGTGATTATATACGTCTGAATGACTTTAGTTAACCAATCACAATCCAGTATTTACTGAAGTCATGGTAGAATGTAGTGTATACACGCCCTTGCAGTACTGATGATGTATTCACGGGTGATAGAGGAAGGTAGTGTGTACATGCCCTTGCAGTACTGATGATGTATTCACGGGTGATAGAGGAAGGTAATGTATACATACCCATGAAGCATTGCCCAAGAAATGTGCATGTATAATTCTGACTTCCTGTCTACAGTGTGTATAAACTGGACCTATGTATATATTCCAGCTGTTGACCAGTCAAGAGAAGCATCGACCACCAAGGAAGAAACGTCCCCGGCAGTTCACAGTTACACGTCAAAAATGATAAGGTTCTTTGAATCAAAATAGTGCAACGACGAATTAAATACAACGTCAATGAGTCAATGGTGTTTTATGCCGCACTCAGCACCTCCTCGATTATCCAGTCTCTAATACCTTTATCACTATACAATGGAAGTATGATAGACTATATAATCGAGGGTGTCGTCACAGCGGGCAGGTTTGTGGCAAGGCAAGCATGAACAAGGAGCCATAATGAGTACAATGGAAAACTATCGGCCAGACCTCTCTCAAACCATCTGACACCAAGTTTGCTCTCTGGTCGATGGTCTCGAAGCTGACACTTGCAGCAAGGGCGGACCATAGTATACGAAAGATCTTCTACCAAAGGTCTTGAGGTTGAGAGTCGGAATAATAACCGTCTACACTATGCGAAAGATCATTAACCAAGGGTCTTAAGATTGAGACTTGGAATAGTAAGAGTCCACACTATGCGAAAGATCTTTCACCAAGGTTTCGAGGTTGAGACTTGGAACAGAGAAGGACATAAGCGTGCGAAAACTCTTTTTCCAAAAGTGTTGAGACTGACACTTATGTGCGAAAGATCTTTGTCCAAAGGGTCTGAGATTTTACGCTTTGAACTTTGAGGGACCACAGATTACGAAAGACCTTGGACCAAATGTCTTGACACTGACATATATGGATGAGCGTGGGGGACCACAGTGTGCAAGATAATTTATTTATCAGTTTTATAGGTTCTTTGACCAAAGTTCTTGTGACTAAAACTTGGGCAGTGAGTGGCCACAGTGTGAAAACACCTTTTTGGCCAATGGTCTCGAAGTTGACACCTGCTAGAATTGACGGACCACAAAGTGCAAAATACCACTGAGGTCTTGAACAGAGTGATTAAGATCTTTTGGCAGACATGAAGTACTTATGACCTGATGAGACATCGAATTCCAACAGGCTGTGAAAATAAAAAAGTCTAACAGAAATTGCTCAAAAATGGATAATAAAGGTGTTAGTAAAATCCTTGTTATACCGTGCTGTAACAGAACCTCACTGAAACAATCGGCTCGTCCAAACCCTTTATATTTCACAATGTGGGTAACAGAATAAGCCGATTGGTTCTGAGTGACTGAAGCCAAGATGCAGACCACGATTCATGCTCCTGTATACTATGAACTAGAATCACACAGATCTCAACCATCCCGGCATCAACATGATCGCTCACTGTAATCACCCAATCACCAATCAGATGTCGCAGTGAATACACCGAATCATGTACTCAGTTTAAACAGCACGCAGGTTATATCGTAACCCAACCACTCGTCATGCGGTCACACTTGTTGATCAAGTTCTACAGCTTGATGGAAAAGGGGGAGTTAATTTTGTGTTCACATTCCACGAAGTAACATTTGTATGATCTGAAAGTAACCTACAAGACATCCATTCAGGTTTTAATGTCTGTAACACTTGTGGCAATACATTATTTCTTCGAGAATCTCTAACTGATTGAAGTGATCAACTGTGAATAACATGAATTACGTCAAATGTGAGATCTAAATAAATATTTTTACTTTCGTTTTCAATACGCACTGTTTTCGTGTTCTGTCGCATCGCACATATACTCCAACCCCAGACGGCCATCTGTATGTATTGAATTCTGGACCACACAAACTAGTGATTAATATCATGAGCATCGATGGACGCATTTGGGATGCAATGGCATGCATCAACAAGGTCATCGAGCCTGACTCCGTCCATTTTGACGCCTCTTTACGACAAGTATATGTTACGGGGATTAATTCTATCCAAAAATTTCTATTGTTCCCAATTTAGTCTCCAAGTTATTTCAACCTCTTAAAATCCGTGGTTCATTCTCACTTATCCACCACCCTTTAGTTTTGACAAGGGATTAGATGGGATTAGTTGACACGGGTTAGTGATTACACTGCTCACTCTGAAATTTGGTCCTGGTGGGTGACACTAATTAGCTGATTTGCCCTGTTACAGTGAACAGTGTTCGTGAACTTTAATTAAATTGTGTCGATTATGCTATTTGTGTTTTTTTTTAATTCAGTGAACACTTTTCACTATTACACGATTATAAAATGGTACATGAGGTTCTTTAAGGTCAGTCACGATGGCTAACCAACAGGTTAATGTCCAGTTTATTCCTAATGGTAGAGGTGGTCAGTACTTAGTGTTCCAAAATCACAAGTTTGTAGTTAAAAGAAGACGAGGAACATCTGTCCATTGGAACTGCGCCCAGAAGAACTGCCATGCCACGGTTAACACCAAAGATAATATTCTCACGTCCTACAGAGACCAGCATAACCATGCATCTGTGGAGAATAGAATCGCTGTAGATTCTTTCTTGGCCAATCTTAAGGACCTTGTCCGAAAAGATTCCAAACCAATTCCATCTCTTTATCAGGAGGAGTTATCAGGTAAATATTAACATAAATACTTGGCAACTTTTTAAATATGTCAATTTAACAAACAGATTATGTAACATCAAACAGCAATTCTTGGCTGGCCATATGGATGTATATGCATATTGGGATGCAGTATCCCATTTAACAGGCTATTGAGGATTGTCATAGATATTGAATGTATTGTTAATTTTGATATTGTATGTATTGTTGAAATAAAAAAAAATGTAGAAAGACTTACTTTTTTACTACTACATTCAAGGGGGGATCTTATTTCACAGGGAACAAAATTTCAGGGACATCTATTGTCTTGAGGATTATTCCGCTTCAGTGACTTGTCCACCTAGAACAATAGGTGGTGGATAAACGAGAAGACCCCAGGTCCGGGTTAGAATTGATCTTCAGCAACCCATGCTTGTTGTAAGAGGCGACAAACGGGATCGGGTGGTCAGACTCGCTGAGTTTGTTGACACGTCATCGTATCCCAATTGCGTAGATCGATCCTCATGCTGTTGATCATTATTTACAGACCGACGCCATATAGCTGGAATATTGATGAGTGCGGCGTTAAACAGCAACTGAACCAAACCAAACCAACCTCTTTAAAACAGAATATTAGAAATAATAAATTTGTGTCATTTTTCAATGCCCGTCAATCTCAACCCCACAATTTCTGTATCTGGTCCCATTCTCATGACATTTCTAGATGAAGTTCATACATAAAACTAAGAATTACTTTTTAAAAACCTGGAGATAACTTAGGTACATGGAGAAAAGCAGCCATGACAGGCCGCTTGAGGGATTTTACAGCCACTTTCCTGACTGTGCCGCCGGCCACATGCGCAAAATTGACAATTACCTTACCGAACTTGCCGTATTTGTCACCCCTCTCATATAAGCTAATTATTATTCCGAAACAGAGAACCCGCTGTGTTGCACACTCGGTTGACTGTTTACAAACAAATAAAAAAATGATTAAAAATATATCTGTAATTATTTTCTTGCTAGTAACTGTGATCTATAGACATAGACATGATGCAGTGTCCGAATATGACTCATGCGGGTTTTGTAACACTCATTTGCGACCATCTGTGAATCAATTGAATTAACCAAAACCCAAGCAACAGCTTGGTTGATTACGAATTTGTTAATTTGTGTCAGTAAGTTGGTAAATAAGGACGAATACATTTGGCCTACTCATCCATGTTGCTATAAACACCGCGTCAAATGACGTACTTCTGCCACTCTCACGATCTCCCTCCTCGATTTTGCAGGAGGGCCCTCTTGGCACTCTAGAGTACGCACGCGAGAGACGCTCTGGCCTTTCGATCAGGAAACTAATGGCTCGTGAGATACACTTTGTGCAAAACGAACGCACCCAGAGTGATAGTGAAAATAGTTCTTTACTGACACATGTGAAAATAAGTCCGGTTGGATATTACGGATGTTATGTGTTTTTCTTTCCTTAAATTGACGCGGTGGGGTAGCCTAGTGGTTAAAGCGTTGGCTCGTCACGCCGAAGACCCGGTTTCGAATCCCCACTTTGGTACTATGTGTGAAGCCCATTTCTGGTGTCCCCCGCCTTGATGTTGCTGGAATATTGCTAAAAGCGGCGTAAAACCAAACTTAGTCAGTCAGTCTGTCTTTCCTTAAATATAATATTCCACAAACCAAGACTAACGAAGAATGAAAATGTAAGATTATTTTAGATTTAATCATAAAAGGTCAAAGTTTTCCTTTTCATCTTTTGATCCGAGAGCTTTGAAATTGTGGGAAAGTTTAGTACGCAAACGGGGGAGTAGCTACCATAGTAAAAAGAAAGCTGATTGTTGCTGAAAGGTTTGGGCAAGCCCTCAATACTATCTAATATAAAGCTCTGCAACCTATCAGGCTTACACGAAAAATGTGGCTTGCTACGCGCTTGGCAAAAGGCCATTGAGAAACTATATTTCATGACTAACTTCCGTTTGTGATTACTTGTGTTGCTGGAATATTGCTAAAAGCGGCGTAAAACCAAACTCAGTCAGTCAGTGTGATTATTTGACTGTGGAGTTAAAATGGCCAGCTGGGAAGTGTCTCTTATCTGTACGCGTGTACAGTCAGATCCGACGTGCGAAGGTACAGTATTCTACATGTCAGTCCTCATATCAGTGTACATTGCCATGCAGCATTTACGGCCAGACAAACAGGTTACTGAAGACATGACAAACGATATAGGTGGTCGACTTACAATGACGAAACACAATGGACCACTCGAACCCGACATCGTCAGTTATTACATCTCACGGGCGAGAACAGGATAAGTAACAAAATAGCACTCGATACATGAATAATACCTGTTGTTGTTTGTTTGTTTTGTTGTTTTTTATTTGTTTGGGCGTGTGGTATTTTTTGGGGGGTAGGGGGCTGTTTCGGGATTGTTTTTGTTCTTTTGTAGTTGTCTTTTGGTTGTGTCTGTTATTTATTTATTTTTATTTTTTTGTGGGAGGGTTGTTTTTGTGGGGGGTTTTTAATTTCAATTATGGTGGGTGTTTTTTGTTGTTTGGTATTAGGCGTTTGTTGTTGTTAATGTTTGTTTGCGCTTTTTGTTGTTGTTTTTGTTGTGGGGGCTGGGGGTTGGGGTTGGGTTTGTTGGGGTTAAAAATTTAACACGAGTGTGTGTGTGTGAGAGAGAGGGTATAAGCATTGTTATAACGTTGTAATAACGTTGCAGACACCGCCATCGATAATTGTTCGAGGTATAAGGTTGGGCCAACGTTGTAATAATGGGAAGTTTTTAGATAACAATTTACAGCTGTAATTAGTTAACTTTTATGTCACATGTGAAAAAGTTATGGTTAAGCATTGCCATTTGTTTGATTCTACATGTTAAACAAACCTAGACCCTTCGGGATTTTGTCTTACTTATATGCATGTACACTGTAATACCTACATTCCACACGCTTTACTACAGTAGCTCCGTATCAAGGTGCTGAACTTATAAATAGGTTGTGAGTTTTCTGATAGAGTTGTTTGATCTTGTTATGACAGTTCCAGTCATTGAATATAAGTAATCGTCACTATACAAAAAGCCCAGAAAAACAGGTGAAAAGCGCGTATTTGCTGTTGTGCCGTGAAGCGAGAAACGCAGGCACAACCCAGCTGAACTTGTGTGCTATATTTAGAACGAGCATGTCATGTGACAGACAGTTGATGTCGTCTGCTTGCCCAAGTTATTGCGCAGTCACCCGTGGGAGTTATGGGTCGCAAATCAGCCAAGTTGAGCAATGGGCAACGAGATAATATTGTAAAAGCATCAAAACACATTGGAAATCACTGGGAGTTGACAAGATTGTATGTAATATGATTAATAATATATGTGGTCGATATGTGTATTTGTTTGTTGTTTTACGCCGCACTCAGCAATATTTCAGCTTTATGGTGGCGGTCTGTAAATAACAGAGTCTGGACCAGACAATCCAGTGATCAACAGCATGAGCATCGAGCTACGCAATTGGGAACCGATGACCTGTGTCAACCAAGTCAGCGAGCCTGACCACCCGATCCCGTTAGTCGCCTCTTACAACAAGCATGGGTTGCTGAAGATCAATTCTATCAAGATCAAATCCGGATCTTCACGGGTGTGACTACTATATAAATGAGCGAAGTAAGTTCTTCTTTCCCCTCCTCATCGACAAACTGGATTGAACTTCTGGAAGAAAATGATATGCATGCACTATTCTGCTGCTCAGTTCGAACACAATCTGGAATTATGAGGTAGTGTACTTAGCAAAGAGCTTCATTCTACTCTGTGATTATATTTTACACTGCAGCGTTTAAAATACCCGCCTGCCCGACCGTCCGGAACGGTTTACTCTCATCTCGGACTGTCAAATTTCAAAAGTAGCCTGTCCGGTGGTCCGGTAGATATTTATACCCCTAACAGTGAATATTTCATATCATCAGACATGTTCTCTTGTCGTCAGTTTGAGGTGTTAAGGGTATTATGAAAATTATATTAAACTACTTACGATTGGACAGTTCAAGCTACGATAACCAATCACAACACTTGTAATTTCAGTTTATTGTTGAAAACCGGACAGGATTTTTTTTATCTGGACTGGTATTTTTTTAAAGTTACCAGTCCGGCTGTTTGGCTTGGAATTTTTTGAGTT